TACTTGTTTAGATTATTTTGAAAATGCCCCCGTTCAAAAATTGATTTTTTTTAAAATATATATTTTTTACTCTTGTTTTATCATCATTTTGATATGTTTTGCTCAATATTGCTTTAAACATATATTTGTTATTTTTTAAAAAAATTGTATCTTTTAATTCTTACTTGGATCGGGCATGGGCCGAGTACTTGCCCCGAGTAGTAGTTTCAAACCCTGGTTTAAAATTTTCCTATCTGAATGGGTCATGCATTTGATTTAGATCGAAATTATTTAGAGAGACTCGTCCAATTTTATAAAAGAACTGGACAAGTCTGTCGGAGATATGGATGATCTAGATCAGCCGAATCATGCAACCTAATGTACTTTTAAATATAAGTTTGTAAGTTATTTGAAATATGGAAAATTATTTTTATTTTTACTTTTGTTTTTATTTATTAGTAGGGAGACTCATCGATCTGGATTGGCCCAGTAATTGGTTGGTTAACCCAACCAGTCCAGGGTTTTAAACAATGGTTTCCACTCAAATGTTTTTCGATACAAAACTCTTGAAAGGGGTGAGCTGCCACTAAAAAAGAATCTATTTTAGATGTGTGCAGTTTGCTTACGGATGCATCGGTAGGTGTAGAGGTAAGGTGCAACTTCAAATTTTATCATAATATATAATTTTGATGTAAAATGTTTTTAGGATTATCTCAAAATCTATTTTTATATCTAATTATAAAATTTTAAATTTCAAAAATGATTAAAATCAAGTAGATCTATAAATATATGAAAATCTTGAAAATAGACGGTGTGGACAATATGTTGTAAAATGCACTATTTTTGAGACTCAAAATCTTTTTATTTTTCATAGTCATACATCTCAATGTCAAGATGATCAATCAAAAGGTTTTTCAACATTAAAACTACCCTTTCCGATGGATTTTTGAGGGGCATCTGTAGTTCTACATTATAAGGAAGCATCCTTATATAAACTTTTTCCGTTTTAGATATGGGTGCGGTTTGTATAGAGCCTAGGCTCTAACAATCAAATTAGAGCCTACCTTCAAATAGTATCGAGAAATGTGGTTTCAATTCTGAAAATCTTTGTGATAGCCTGGAAAAATATTTTTATATTTATTCATAAAGTTTAAAGCTTCAAAAATAGTGTAGATTGACAAATCTATAAACACTTGAAAATATTGAAAATTGACGCTAAAAAAATACGTTACAAAATACACTATTTTTAAAACTTAAGATTCATTTTTTTCTCAAATCCATGCATCTTGATGTCGAAATGATCAATTTGAAGATATTTGAGCTTCAAAACAACCTCTTCTGGTAAAAGTTTTAACGTAAGCTCAAATTTGATTGTTCAGAGCCTCGGCTCTATATAAACTTTTCCCTATAGAGATATATACACATACATGTATGTCAACGTCTAATAATGTCAAAAAAATGTTGATTGCAATATTAGTCTTTCTGTGTGCCATTTAAACCAAAAAAAAAATGTTTTGAAGTACACGTTGAACTATCCAACATTTTATCTCAAAAATGTTTCCATAAATTTCAGAATTATTTTAATTTGTGATTGATTACCAAATTGAAATTTTACTGAAAGATTGACGGACCGCTTGAAATTGAATAACAAAAATATGGATTAGATATTAAATTGTCCACACGTTAGGTATGTTTTCATACATTTCCCTTTGCATAAGAGGTGGGGTTCTAGATGATAATACTTCTAATGTCAGAACCTCGTTTGCAAACTCGGCCGGTCCAATTCAGAATTGGGCACTGGCTGATTTGGTTTTGGTGGTCTGGCAGGGTATTTTAAAAATAAAAAGTTAAAAAATGTAAAAACCTCAAGGGATTTATTTGGGATGTGTTTATGAATGGTTTTATCATTTTGGAAAAGATCGAAAAGTGTTTTGACAATGAAGACTTATTTTTATATTTTTCAACTTTTTTTAATGTTTTTTAAAATACTTTAATGTAAAAAAAATCTTTTTTTTTCATTGTTCAACTTCATTTAGATGTGTTTTGTTTAATTATGCTTTAAATATATTTTTTCATATTTTTTTAGATATTCAGAATTTTTTTTATTTTTTTAACACTTTTTAGATTAGCCAGGACGTGTCCGGTTAGGCCAGTTGAACCTGCCTATTTACCGATTACTCGAACCCGGCCCGGCTGGTTTCTGAGATTTTTTGAACACTCTGTGAGAATTCAAGAAATCTTGCAAGTTTTCTAAAGTTGAGTATCTTGTGCGTTGTTAACATGCACATAAGAGCATGACAAGAGTGTTTTTGTTAAATAGGCGTGAATAATGTAAATTTTCAGGAAAAAAGGGATCTCGAAATTAATAAGGAATAGAAAAAAATCAATTGTGCTTTATTCTTTATTTTTCTTGGTTTTGTTATTTCATTCTGCGTTTTATTGTGGGATATGAAGAAACTAACGTGAACCCAAAACTATAATAAATAACAAATAACGAGGAACACTGCTCACACCAGAAAACCTTTCCAAGGTTGTCCTTCACTGCCTAATATAGCAGCATTAATCTAGGTTTAGGAGATTCCAACCTTTTTAGCAAAAGACAATAACTCCTCACCTACAAAATGACCCAAATGTCCCCACTTCCGAAATCACGAGAATACATCTCCAGGGAAATTACTAAATTGCCCTTCCATAAAAATGGCTCCAACTTTTCCAAACAAATGGTATAAAAAAAATAACATATTAAGTTTTTCTCTTTACTTACAAGGTTAATTTTTTGTTTGTCTTCTCACGAGTCTATCATCTCTGCCACCATAATCATGAACATGAAAATAATGAATTTGAACATTAAGAGAGCTCCGCCTTGTATTTCTTTTGGACCGTTTGTTTTGTAAATCCAAGAATCTAAATTTATGGATATGCAGTGTGTTAAAAAGTGTTTCAGTACCTATATCCTTCACATAACTATGGTAGATACATGAGCCATTGATGACCACATGTATGAGAAGTGTGACCGGCCAACCATCCACTGAGAGATCGATATATATTTTTTATGATATTATGTTTTTAATGTGCATATATAATCGTTAAAGTGTTTTTTTAACTAATTAAGGTAGGCTACATGAATTTTGGTCTGTCATTCTGCTATATTAAGGGTCAATACCCTCAGTGAGGTCATAAGCCCTTATATATTTTTTTACTACTTCTAACCATGTCATTTTGAGCTTATCTCTTATTTTTTTTTAACTTTCCGTTTGAATTAACTTACATCTCCTAACAGGTGTTGTACTTGATTTGCGTCACACATGGCCAGTCCATCTAAGTCTATTATCTCTCATCTTATCGCTTATTGGTGCGACACCTAAATTTTTTGGAAGCATTCATTTCAAATTCTATTCGTTCTTGTCTTGTCGCTCATTCATCTCAATATCCTCATCTCTATTACACTCATTTTTTGGGTATATTGTTTTTTTAGCACCCAACATTCTACCCTATAAAGCAAAGCTACTCTCACATTTGTCTTATAGAATATGCCCAACAATCACAAAAAAATTCCGGTATACACATCTTTACTTCGCCCACCCAATTCTAATTCTATGTGCGACATCTTTTCCAATCTCTTCATTTTTTTGGATTAACCCAAGATATCGAAAGTGCGCTCTTTTTGGTATTTCCTAGTTGTCAATCTTAATTACTTTTTCGTCTCTACTCCCATTATTACTAAACTTGCATTTCATATACTATGCCTTAGTCTAGCTAATTTTAAAACCTTTAGATTCTAAACATCCCTTTAAAGTTCTAACTTTGTATTAACGTTATTTCGGATTTCATCGATCAAAACCACATTGTCTACGAACAGCATGCACCACAGTGCCTCATTTTGTAGGTGCATAGTTAAATTGTCCATAACTAAGACAAAAAAATATGTGCTCAATGCTAAACCCCACTGGTTGTTCATACACTAGTTGGCATTCCCTCGTATATATCTATTACAAAGTCAATGTAGTGTCTAACAACTTCTTTCTTTTTCAATACCCACCAAATCAAATCTCGACGTAATTTATCATAAGCTTTCTCTAGATCAATAAACACTATATAAAGATCTTTTCCTTTCGCCATTAACTTCTCAATTAGTTACCTAAGTAAAAAAATAGCATCGCTTGTTGACATTCTTGTCACAAAACCGAATTGCGGTTTTTTGATACACTTGTTTCACACCATAGCCGTTGTTCAATTACTCTTTTCCAAAGCTTCATAGTGGAACTCATAAGTTTGATCGCTAGATAGTTTGTGCAATTTTATATGCTTCCTTTGTTTTTGTAAAAAGTACAATACTTTCCCTTCATTCGTTAGACATTTTCTTTGTTCTCAATACCTTAATGAACAACATTTCCATCGGGACATTTTCTTTGTTCTCAAGACCTTAATAAACAGCATGGTCGACCAGCCACTGCCAATCTCCCCCATACACTTTCAAACCTCTATAAGGATACTTCCATACATTGAATAAGAAATGTATTTCCTAATAAAGAATCAATGTATATGGCTCAACTTTTGCATTACATGCATAACAGCTATCAAAAGTCTAAATTTTCTAGTTGGGGCTGGCACCCACATCATAATTTCATTTCATATGTTGGTGCAATTTATAGTTTTGGTTAAAACATTAGCATCTCCATCATTGAATTAGAACTCGTTTCCAAGTCCAAAGGAAAAGGTTTTCCAGCCAGGTACGCCCGACTCCTGATCCAGTCTGCTCGTGCGAGTACCGAATTACACCGGCAATTTCTTGAACGGTAGGACAAAGCTCAAGGTTCAAATACCAGGTGGTCCATAGTAGCTCGACAGGAAAAATGATACCTTGGTGTCATACCAAAGCCCACAATGGGAATTAAAGCTAGTTATTATCTAATTTTATTGAAATTATTTTACATTATTTAACTGCCTAGATTCCTGCACACGCTCGTCAAGAAAATCTAGACTATCCATCAGTATAAATAAGAGAATTTAGCAGCCATGGATGCACAGGAAAACAAGATGCTTATGATGCCACTCTCTCCAAGTATTTAATGGGGCTCAACACTAGGTCAAGGGTTCAAATTACCTATCCAAAAGACAAAAATAGGAGAAAATAGGAGCAAAGAAGAAAATAATTTAGACTAATTAACAAAATTGCACAAACCCCCTTGAAAAAACAGGGCCCACTTTAATAGCTGGTAGGCTTAGAGCCAATAGTATGCTGCCACACGGTGTTCAAGCAGCTGTGGGGCCCGCAAGGCGGGATGATAATTACTTAAGATAGAAATTCTCTCCCTCTTCACTGTTTTAACTTGTTTTTCTTGGGTTCTCTCTTCATTGTTTTGTTTTCACTGTTCCGTCTCTTCACTCTTTTCTCTTCTCTTTCTGATTTTGGGGGCTGCTGCTTCTCCACCTGGGAAGATGGGTCACTGATGCCCAACGCCTTCCTTTTCCTCATTGCTTCCCTCTTCTCTTCCCTGCATCATATTCACATGGAAAATTTAAAAAGCCAAACCTTGAAGGGCGGGAGAGAGAGAGATTTCTTCCCTGCTTAAAAATCCTCCCCATCCAAACAGGGATTTGAAGCCCAGCTTGACTCTGTGGATGTGTGTGTGAGAGAGAGAGAGAGAGGAGGGAGATATCTTCCTTGCTTAAAAATCCTTTCCCTGAACAGGGATTTGAAGGGCAGCTTGACTGTGTGTGCAAGAGCGATAGAGAGTTTTACCTTGCTCTAGAGATTTCTTCAGGGCTTGGGAATTTTCTTTTCTCTTTAAACTCCTTTCTGGATGTCGGCTTTTCTTCTCTAGTATTCTTCACATCCTCATTTGTCTTTTGGCCCTCCTTAGCACCCTTCTTAATCTGTTTCTTTTCACGCTTTTTCATAGGGTTCTTCGTGTGATTATTCCCATTTTCTAGTTGTTGAGGTTCAGCTTTTGGAACCTCCTCTTGGGTTTCACTGTTGTTTGCCTTTGGAATCTCTTCAGTTGTTTCTGAAGCATCATTTGGATTTTGTTCACGCTTGGAATTGCTCAACTTTCTCAACTGCAAATCATGTAAATAAATAAATAGACATGTAAGCAAAAGTATAACACTAAGAAAATATTGATGAATATAAACTGAGAAAATATGATGCCCATGGCAAAAATATCTTTTTCTTTCACTAGAAGTAGTTCTAGAAATCATTGATGAATATAAACTAAGAAAATATGATGCCCATGGCAAAATATCTTTTTCTTTCACTAGAAATAGTTCTATTTCTTTTATGGATGAAAAATCAAAATCCATTTGACGGAAAAGACCCCCCCAAAAAAAATAAGCTTCAAATGCATGCATCCTTGATACAAACCAAACATATCTTGTATCTCATTGTTTCTTGCATAATAAATTGTATAAAAAAAAAATTGGATGAAGTATACTACTAAGGGGAAGTGTTCCATGCTCGCACTTTGGATTTCCTACAGTTCGCCAGCACCTCCCAAACTCATCTGAAACCGATAGCAGACAGCTGGGGTGTGACGTTCCTCCACTCAACGTCTGTCAAAACTTATTGACATACTACGAGCAAAGAACAACACATCCCAACCATCCTTTGTTGACCTTTGCTGGCTGACGAGGTGCTAGTCAGCAGCAGGAAACCCCATGTTAGCACCGTATACAATGCCATGAAAAGGAAACTGAAACATGCACCAATTGATGTATATAGTCCATGGTATATGTATTTGGTCCATAATGGTTGCGTCCACCATTCATTCCCCTTAGCAAACAGAGATACAAAGTAGTGCCTGGAGATGGACGACCAGCCATGTGTGGTACATAGTTGTTAGGAGTTGAGTGAGAGATTGTTGCTGGCAGAAGCTCCCTACTTTGGAAGGGCCATGGGAGCGGTACAATAACATATAAATAGGCTAAAATTATAAAATTACTTAGAATTTACTTATGGAAATATTAAATGATATGCGAATGCATATTAAAATTCCACAGTAGAACTGAATAAATTTCTAGGGATTATACTATTACTCAAAAGAGTATCATTTATTTTCCCATATCAAAAAATTGTATTTATTTTTATGAAAGCATGTTCTATTTTAAAATAATAAATACAATTTTAAATTATATTCAATTCCAAAATGGTTCAATTCTGTAAACTTCTTAGGAAAGATTAAGACTGTCCAATTTTAATATCAAACTTATTGCATTCTAAAGTACTAAGCAATTTTCATCTCTTTTGGTAGTTACCTTTAATGCAATAATTATTTAAGGAAATTTATCAGAATGCACCTATGCGATGAACTCTTTAATATTTTAACCGATTCTATTGATTTAATTTCAAAAGGCCCATCAAATTGCACATGATCATGAGTTGATAGTTGGAAACGGTTAATACGATAAAGGAAAAGTACATAGAGAGACCATTTACTTTTAGTACAAGAAGATCACACTTGTTCGTTAGATTTCAAATCGGGTGGCAATAAGTGTGTCATTGACTAAACTCGAAGTTCAAATAGAAATTACTCGAACCTCACAACACACCCAAGCAATCCAATTTGACATCTGATGGCTAGGAGTAATTGCAGCCTCTTTGTTAACCTTGTAACAAAGATAAATGGTCTCATAGTATACAATCCCAATGACAAATTGTTAATAAATGGAAAAGTTATTTCGATAAAGTTCCCCTTTTTTAAGGTAACCTATGTGTCCATAATGACATATCCATCAACCCACCTGACAGATCCCTACCTATGATTAGGTACTGTTACTACTTTTATAGAAGTAAATAGTTTCCAAAAAGTTCATATTACTGGTGTGTTCCTTATGTTAAGGTTCAAAACTTTTCCCAAGGGCATCCCTATCATTGAGGGTAATAAGGACTATGGATCATGATCCCATGCTAAATGAGACCAAACTCCCATGCTAACTTGACTGAGATCAGTACTCAGGAGAAGGATCCCAAGAAGGATCAGCTCTGGCAGCACAGGACCATGTTCCTGGGGTGGGACTGCCTCCTATGGAAGACACTCCCAGTTAACCATGGTATGGCTATCCCCACTGTTTGTTTGACTTCAATACTGCTAGAGGTGTACCATTCCTAAAAGTTGTATACCATAAATTGTACTATTGCTTTGCCTGGTGAAATACCTTGGCCACAAAGAAGCCATCCATGTTATGAACATGTGGATAGAAGCGCCTAGTTTTCTCCAATGAAGGATGGAAACGATGCTCCCTATATCGTATAAACCTGGGAAGAAATAAAAGCAAATGTTAGTGAAACTGATGTAAATTGACTGTCAAAGGCAAAAATGTTATGGGTACTGACCCCCGTATTAGTCAATTATTTTAAATTGAAAAAGAAGAATTTCTAAAAACAGTTGGGGTTTGAAGCGGTATCCAAAAGATTCTAAGGCTGAACAACCGTTTAATTTCAAGAATGGTGCTCTTGCAGGAGCAAATCCTGGACCTTACAAGTTTAACTTCTGTGGTTGATGGTCATAGTTTCTAGAAGACACTCATAAAGGGTAGCATGAATCATTTACTTGCTTTTTTTCTTGAATCATTTCCTGTTTTTTCTGAACTTTAATAAAGCTTACCCAGGTCGGCCAAAATCCAAGCCACATGGAACAAGTCGCACATGTCTCTTCTTCAATGCATAGTCTATAATCGCTTCATTCTGCAAAAGAGCAGATTATGCTTAGAGAGGATGCCTCATATATCAACAAGGTCCTAAAAATAAAATTTTGTAATTAAAACAATGAAAAAAAGGTGAATATTAAGTAATTAAGCAAGCATACCTCAGGGATCATTATGGAACAAGTTGAGTAAACTATGTATCCCCCAGTTTTTGAATTGGCATCCACCATGTCAATTGCAGCAAGAATCAATTGCTGTTAATAAAAAAACTCAAACAAATAAACTTCAATCATATTGCCAGCCAATTCAAGTCCCAAGTTTTTGAACAGTGCAAATAAAAGGCAAGAAAATAATCAACTTCATGCAGATATAGTACTAACACTTTGATTCGACAAAGGTGGCAATAGTTACTCAAAACACCAAGTGTTTGTAAGGACATGCTTGAATGGCGTCTAAGTCAAACTTCACATGCTGACTCCACATAGATCGGTGTTTGGTACTGAGCCGATATGTACAGCATATCTAAACAACTTATATGGGTATTGACAATTGGGGGCATAACTGCTACTTATATGATGTAAACATAGACCTATTTGAATCACATCTAGTAAGGAGAGCCATGTAGGACATAATCACCCTACCCTGGTAATCCTCAACACCCGACCAAATCAGGCAGGTGAGAATTTTGCCCTCGACCTTCCATCAGGTTCAGTAAGATGCTGCCCTCAAAGGGAGGCAACCACCTATGGGATCTTTTACTTCTTGGAACTGTTCCCCTTGCTATAACCTACCCTTGTGTCTCAAAGTCTGAAGCCAAATAGCCCCTGAACTCATTCCTAGCACGTGCCCAAGAAATGATTATGACCATTACCTTCTCTTACAGTCCTTCAAAACTTTGAAATTGAGGCCCTTGAGGATCAATAAAACTGCTAATCTTCCCAATCTCCATAAGATCGACCCATATTTTGGTAGAGAAGGGGTAAACGATTGAGAGAACAATGCCTCCATTGACACAGGTATGGCCCAATAAAACCCAAAAAGACTAAATATGAAACCCAAAAGTTCCGTGATGCTTCACAATGCAAGAGACGATATCTTAACAATTTCCCATCACACTTGCACATGGCACAACTATTTAAAACAGGCATACCCTTCCTTATCAGTTGGTCAATAGTTAGCACTTTGTCAAGTCATATCAACCAAGTGAACATCTGGGTATTCAGTGGTCCAGGAATAGACCCTTTTTTTTTTTAGCGACATCATTTTATCCAGTAGACCTCACTAAATATAGGACTTACATTGAAAATTCTCCGTTTACTTAGAGACAACTGGATAGCTCTGTCTGCCCTTCCTAGGAAGGAGGAAAAAGCCCAGCAGCTATTTAAGCAGGCTAAGTGACACATTCCTCTCTTCATCATTTTAATTCCCTTCACATATTTGAAGTTAATGTCATTTGGTGGCCCCTCCTTGTATCAATTTTTTGACCTTTGCATCCTGATTAGAAGCCAAGAGATGCAACTATGGGTATCTTTCCTATAGTGCTTGGTGCTCCATCTCCCAACCATACATGCTTCCAAAACCTCGCCCTACTACCATCTCCTATCTGAAATCTGATGTTTATGAAAATTCCTGGCAACATCTATTTATTCACTTCCGAGAACCAGATGCCTTGCCTGGCCATACGATGGCCTCAGGCAAGCATCCTGAGTCATCCATTCCACACTCATCGAGTAGCAACTGTTTCCAAAGTTGATCTCCTTCATCTCAAAGCAGCCATCACCACTTCCCTATGAGATGAAGGTTGGTTTCCTTGACTGTTTTAATACCAATTCACGATTTGCTTTTTGGCTGACACAACATATTCCAATGAACTAAATGGAACTTGTGCTTATCCTGACAGTCAATCCATGAAAAGTCTCACAAGTTTTGATGTTCATTACAGATGCTAGCATTGAAAGCAGTCTCCAATGGGTTGGGAAATTTGGATATGAAGACATGATTAAAGTAAACCCACGCCTCCATAGATAAGAACTTTGACTTCCATGAGTGAAGTTTCCTCGTAAAGCTTTCCACAACTCCATGCCACATTCTTTTCGTATGCTTCCCTATACACAAAGGTAACACAGAGGATCTAACTAGGGAAATTCTCAGCCCCACATCCAGTGGTTTAAAAAGCGGATCGGTGACCCGGATCGGGCATCTCAAAAACCCATCCGGATCGGCGATCTGGATCAGGAATCGATCAGATTAAACCTTAAAAGAAATCCAAAAAAATTATTAAAATTCATTATAAATGTTGTTTTTTAAAAATTCAATAAGAAATGAGGGTACTCCATTAAGAATTTTCATTTTTTTGCATGAATATGCGAATATTGATATGTTCTTTCCCTGGATGAACTATTATTTACCATTTAATTTATTTCACACAAAAGGATAAACATAGAATTATCATGGATTAAGTATATCATCATACATGGACTACAATAAAGCATACAATTCGTAACATACGATCTAAAAATAAAATGACAGACGACGTTCTTCATCTTGGTCACGCTGGTGCCATTGATTGAATTCGCGTGACAATTCATTGACTCGCTCTAAAAACGAATCATCCAAATTAGTGGGCACCTGACTATATCCAAATCCCTGAGTGTTAGTGTTTTGTTGTGGTCTTAATCCAAAATCCCCAAAGCTTGTCCATCTTTCATGCTCACCTACATTATCGTGCTCATCCCTACCCTCTTGTTGTTGGGACTCGATATGTGAATAATTTGGCTGGGATTGGGTGGCCTCAGAATCATCATCTCTCTAATTTCCCTTAGACCCCTTTCCCACTCTCCCTCATTAGATGCAATATCACCGACATCTCCGACGAACTGTGGATATGTTCGCGGGCTCTTCCTCTTTCATGCTGCTCATCACCTTCTTCAAGATCTTCCTTACCGATAGCCTCAAGGAACTCTCTCTTGAGCAACAATGGCTCCTCTTCTTCTACTACCCATTGTTTTGCTATGTCTGTGACAAATATTGTGTCCAAGTCTATGGGCTCATAGTCTTCAAGCTTCCTTCTTATTTGTCGCTCTCGGAGGTTTAAGTTGTAATGAATGTAGACTAGTTTATGAAGCTTCTCCGAAGCGAGTCGATTCCTCCTAGTAGTGTGCAACCATTGGAACGTACTCCAGTTTGGCTCACCGCCAGTAGCAGAACATGTCTGGGAGAGCACCTTGATTGCTATCCTCTTTAAGTGAGGTGCATCACTACCATATATCTCCCACCATTCAGCAAGATAAAAATGCAAAAAGCTTTGTAAGGGCAAAAATTCATAAGATTAAATATATGAATGAACAAAATATTAGTTAGGGGATAACCTGGTTCCATCTTAGCTTGAGAATTCCTGGCAAATCTAGTTCCGAAGGATCCTATAGCATCCCTATACATAGGGAGCTAAAACAAAATATTTCGTTTTAGTGCATTATTCCTCACAAATATAACAACTCAATCAAATTCTTACCCAAATATTAAATAATACCTCTTGTATTGCTGCTACTTGGTTTCGATGGCTTCTCTCCAACCTGGCAATAATGTATCTGACCCCTTCCATAATTTTGTGGGGATGTTCAGGTGTCAAATAGAAAAATTTTGGGTTGAAGTAGTAACCTAAAAAATATATAGATAGAGAAATGTCATTTAAAATTTCATAAAAAAATAATTTAGAATGAAACATTCTAATAATATAAATATATATTTACCTGCATAATGAATTGGACATCTAAATTTGGTGTTCCACCTTCTTTCTATAATCTCGATCACTTTACTAGCAAAACTACACTTGTCCCCAATAGTTGCTTTGGCCCTTTCGATACCTTCATAAAGGATGCCGATGGATTTCGAGAGGCGGTCATTTAACCACTCTTCACTGGTAAACAATGTCTTTAATGCACCTTCAGATTCCCGAATGGAGTCCACAGCCAAGTAATCTGTCGCAAAGCGGGTTAATGCAGGCCTGATTATCTCTATTTTCTTAGACTATTCTCTGAACAAAAATAAAATTTTAGATTGGTTCTATATAAATCTTGACACCCTCGCTTCTTGCAGAGTCTCCTTCACAATTTTGATCTCATCGATCTCCTCTAACATAAGATCGATGTTGTGTACAGCACACGGGGTCCATACTAGATGATTCCTCTTATCCATCAACTTGCTGCCTGCAGAAACACATGCACGTGCATTGTCCGTAATAAACTGGACTACATGCTTATCTCCCACCTCCTCCACTATCTGATCATATAGTCGTACGAAGAAGTTTGCATCCTTCATCCCTAATACGTCTTTGCTAACAAAAAAGCTGTACCTTTTGGAGAATAGGCCAAGAAGTTTAAAAACTCCTTTTTGCTAACTTTATTCAACCAACCATCACTCATGAGAGTAATGTTTGTTCTTGGCCAACTCTGTTTATATTCTTCAATCCACTTTCTAACTTCCTCCACCTCTTCATCCAATATTGTCCCACTGAGCTCATATGCTGTCGGGGGTTTTACCACGGGTCCGGCTCTCTGGATTGCGTTGACCATAGGTGGAAAATATGGGCTATTGGCTGCATCAAAGGGGATCCCTTTATCGTAGAACCATTTACCAACATATCTGCCCAACATGTTTCTCGTCCCTTTCACCATGCCTTTGAGGGCCATCTGTTTTGACTTAGGCTTTGAGAGAAATGGGTCTATACGACCATGACCTGCAATACTGACACTCCTAGATGTATGGCGGGCCCAACTCAAATATGTATGGAGGGGTTGATGGCAATATGTATTAAGAGGAATCAGACGTTGAAGAAATTGTTTCTAGC